AAGCAAATACTCTAGGCGACAACATCCACTAGTCAAAAGTCTTGTGGACAGATATTTAGTATGTTATTTGTGGCCTTATATTAGAAACTTTATTTTTTATTTTTTTCAATAACCACGCATAAACAATATTCTCTCAAAAATACAAACATGTACATACATGTTGCTCACATATTATGGTAGCCCTGTGTGTGCTATATAGAGTGTAATTTCACCTGTGCCATTAATATGTTTATAAGCAACTGAAAAAAGCACAAATGTCAGAGCATGCCAAAACATCTCAAGGACCCCGAAAACACCTTGGACCCCAGAGGGTTAAGTATAGCAGCATATACGTTTACGTTAGTGGCGAAGTCTTACAGAGCAGCGGGACAGGCAGCTGCTTCTCTGCATCATGCTAAGGCCACTCTGCAGGTCTACCAGGCCCAGATGCTCAGAGACATGCACGAGGGTAGGACAGACCCAGGGCTCTTTGATGAGCTGCGTGCCGCCACCGACCTTGCCCGCCCCTCCCGCCCGGCCCAAGCAGCAGCCTTCACCCGGGCCCGGTCGTGGAGGAAGCCGCAGGAAGGCGCCCCAGCCCTCTCCAGCCCCGCCCCCCGCTAAACGCCAGGCCAAGCGGCGCTCCTGAGACGGGCTGCTCAGGGATGTTGACGGTTACTTCTCAGGAGGTGGTAGCAGGACCACTCCTTCCCCTGGTGGAGGGCCGGGGGAGAATCTTTTGTTCTCCACTCCCCGCTGCTCACCCCTGGGTGGGCAGCACCCTAATGTGGTTAAAGAAAGACGTAACACATCCATCCCTGAGCACACAGAGTTCTCGGACAACACAATGTGCTGCCTTCGGGCCGTGTACCCCTAGTCGCCGGATGACAGTGCGCGCCATCCCCGGACCGTGCCGCTCTCATCCTCCTCTGTCGCCAGCCCCCTGGCAGAGCAGACCCCCGTGGAACGTTCGTCCTTCCCTGGTCTCCTCTGTCAGGGCACGGTTAATGACTGTGCCCCCACACCGGGCCGCTATGCCGTCCACGTCTGGGCCAGTCATTCCGCCTCGCTGCACCACCGATGGGAAGTCTGTGGTTCGTATGACCCCGCTGGTACAGTCGTTGGGAGCCTGGCTATAGCTTTCCAACCTGTTCCGCTGGGTCGCTCGGACGATCAGGCTCGGCGACTCGATTCAGTTCGCGCGGTCTCCTCCCCGCTTCAGGGGAGTCCGCTCCACTATGGTCGGTGGCAATGCCCCTATCATGAGAGCAGAGATTGATACCCTGCTGGCGAAGGGTGCGATCGAGACTGTCCCTCCAGCCGAAATGAGGTCCGGCTTCTACAGCCCGTACTTCATTGTCCCGAAGAAAACCGGTGGGTTACGGCCAATCCTGGACCTGCGCGTTCTAAACCGCTCCCTTCACAGGATGCCGTTCAAGATGCTCACCGCCAAACGCATATTCGAATGTGTGCGGCCCCAGGATTGGTTTGCAGCGATCGACCTGAAGGACGCCTACTTCCATGTCTCCATTTTCCCTTGACACAGACTGTTCCTACGGTTTGCTTTCGAGGGGCAGGCATACCAGTACGCGGTTCTCCCTTTCGGGCTAGCCCTGTTTTCTCGCGTCTTCACGAAGGTCGTCGAGGCAGCCCTCGTTCCCCTTCGGGAACACGGGGTTCGCATCCTGAACTAATTTGACGACTGGCTGATCCTAGCTCACTCTCGAGACCAGGTTTGCGAACACAGGGACCTAGTGCTCCGGCACTTAGCTCGTCTGGGCCTTCAGGTCAACTGGGAGAAGAGCAAACTTTGCTCCGTGCAGAGGATCTCTCTTCTCGGTATGGACATCGACTCGGTCGCCATGTCCGCGCAGCTTACGAGCGAGACAGTTCGAGGGCAAGAGTGCGGTTCCACTGAAACTTTTTCAGAGGCTCCTGGGGTATATGGCATCTGCAGCCACGGCAACGCCACTTGGATTGCTTCATATGAGACCGCTTCAGCTTTGGCTTCGCGACCGAGTCCCGAGGTGGGCATGGCAACACGGCACCCTCCGAGTACCAGTTACTCCGACCTGCCGTCAGACCTTCACCCCGTGGTCGAACCTCAGTTTTCTACGGGCCGGAGTGCCCCTGGAACGAGCTTCCCGGCATGTTGTTGTAACGACAGATGCCTCTACCACGGGCTGTGGTGCCATGTGCAATGGACGTGCTGCCGCGGGCTCCTGGACAGGACCCCAGCGCCTATGGCACGTCAATTGCCTCGAGTTGCTGGCTGTACGTCTTGCTCTGCGCCGCTTCTGGGCCGTGCTCAAGAATCAACACGTACTAGTCCGATTAGACAATACCGCCACTGAAGCGTACATCAACCGTCAAGGTGGTCTACGCTCCCGCCGTATGTCGCAACTCGCTCATATGGAGTCAGAAGAAGAAGCCCTGAACCGTGCAGCCGACGAGCTCTCGCGGCTTCAGCCCCTCCCTGGAGAATGGCGACTCCATCCCCAGTCGGTTCAGCTGATTTGAGACCAGTTCGGGGACCCACAGATAGATCTGTTTGCCTCTCACGACTCGACCCATTGCGCCCTGTATTATTCCCTGAACGAGGGCACGCTCGGCACGGATGCACTGGCGCACAGCTGGCCGCGGGGCTGCAAATATGCGTTTCCCCCAGTGAGCCTTCTTGCGCAGACCCTGTGCAAGGTCAGGGAGGACGAGGAGCAGGTCATTCTGGTCGCGCCGTACTGGCCCACCCAGACCTGGTTCTCCGAACTTGTACTCGTCGCGACAGCACGTCCTTGGCCGATTCCCCTGAGGAAGGACCTCCTTTCTCAGGGACGGGGCACCCTATGGCACCCTCGTCCCGATCTTTGGAACCTCCACGTGTGGCTCCTAGACGGGACGAGGCAGGTTTGAGTACCCTACCACCAGCGGTGGTGGCTACCATCATTTCCGCTAGAGCATCGTCCACGAGACACGCCTATGCATTGAAGTGGAACCTCTTCGTCAACTGGTGCTCTTCTCACCAAGAAGACCCCCGGAGATGTTCGATCAGTGTCGTGCTTTCCTTCCTTAAAGATGGGTTGGAGCGAAGGCTGTCTCCCTCCACCCTCAAAGTCTATGTTGGCGCTATTGCCGCACACCATGACCCAGTCAAAGGTAAGTCTGTGGGGAAGCACGACCTGATCGTCAGGTTCCTGAGAGGAGCGAGGAGACTGAATCCTCCTCGCCCTCCTGTCGTTCCCTCTTGGGACCTCTCAGTGGTTCTAACTGCCCTGCAGAGTGCTACCTTTGAGCCTTTGCAATCAGTGGAGCTTAAGTTCCTGTCAATGAAGACAGCGGTCCTGGTTGCATTGGCCTTCATCAAGAGGGTAGGCATGCATTCTCCGTTGACGAAGCGTGCCTGGAATTCGGGTCGGCCTACTCTCACGTGATCCTGAGACCCCGGCTTGGATATGTGCCCAAGGTTCCTACCACTCCCTTCCGGGACCAGGTGGTAAACCTGCAAGCGCTGCCCCTGGAGAAGGCAGACCCAGCCTTTGCACTGCTCTGTCCAGTACGTGCTCTCCGCGCCTATGTAGACAGAACGCAGTGTTTCAGGACCTCAGACCAGCTCTTTGTCTGTTATGGTGGGAAGCTGAAGGGAAAGGCTCTCTCCAAGCAAAGGCTGTCTCACTGGATAGTGGACGCCATTACTTTGGCATACCAGCAGCAAGGTCGACCGTGCCCCCTTGGTGTGACTGCCCACTCCACCCGGAGTGTGGCGTCCTCTTGGGCTCTAGCCTCGCTAACAGACATCTGCAGAGCTGCAGGCTGGGCGACACCCAACACATTCGCCAGATTCTACAATCTCCGAGTGGAGCCAGTGTCCTCTCGTGTACTCGCTTCAACCAGCTAGTACCGGACCCGCTCAGGTGTCTTCGCTTGCTCGCCATTCCCCTCTACGGACTAAATACGTGCGATATTCTCCTCAGGTGAGCTTCCCTGAAAGCCATGAGTTCCTCCAGCACTCCTGACGTCGGCGCCAGTGTCTATTGCCTGTGCGTCGGCTAGGTGCCTCCCGTGTGCATGGTCCCTCCTCTGAGCGACCCCAGATGTGTATTTCCACTGTAAGCCTCTCTGAGCATGTGTCTTTCCCTTGGCAAGCCACCTTGCCACCCCTGGGGTTGAAATATTCCACCTGCGGCTGGACACCCCAGTGTTCTCCATATGCTTCCTTCGGGTCATATGTGTATTCTCTAAGTCCGGCCGGCTTCCTCCTTTTATACCCACGAGGTGGGGCGGAGTTACGCCATGCAAATTCCGCAGACCCATGGCATCTTTGCCATTGGCTCATTTTGTAATACTCGAAGTTGATAGGCTTTCTAAGCGAAACCCCATTCGTCGTCATCCGACGGAACTCATCCCTTACTGCAACAGGAGATTGATCTGTCAATGACAAATGAGAGGGTTCGTGATAAAGAAAAGGAAAAATCCATCAAAAATCTAGTTTAAAACATGTATGCCATATTATTAGAAATGTAATCTTTGAATTCATCTTGAATAAATTGAGTGCACACATCCTAATCACTATTTTCAAAAAAAGTTTTTAGAAATATATTTCACTGTAAAAGGATTAAATTATCCATGATATAATTTCCTGATTTGTCTTCTTTTTTTCTTCTTTTTTTTTTTTTTTGCATGTTACTGAATGTAGGTTGCACCATAATTTAAGCAGTAAAGCTGTTTTGTTAAACTACTTTTGTAAACAAATAATAATTATGCCAATCTTTGAGAATTTAATTATTTTAATATCTTTGTTATTATATCAGGAAAGTTGTATCACCCTGACATTTATGCCCTCAAATAAATTTAAATTCATAGATTAAAACTATAGTCATCATAGAAGAGGTGTATTCAAGTCATTTTATGTAAAACATGATATTTTTTAATTTTGCTTTTCAAATAAAAAAATTAGCATCATGTCTTTGACCCTGATGCAGAATGGTTTTTAGTGACTTTCACTGTGTTTTATATGGTGTGTGCAGATATAAGCAAATAGAGCGGCTTGCAGCAGAGGAAAATGAAAGGGGACGTCCGAGGTCGACAACACGGGGGAGAACCGAAATCACTCTTAGCCTGAGTTCACGATCCTCCAGCAGCTCATTGTCTCGTTCTGCTACCCCTTTGACTGTAGAGGCTCAGGAGGAGACACGCTCCGTCCAACATCCAGCACAAGGTGAGATTCCTCCATGTGTACAGTAATACAGTGTGACATTTCTGGAAAAAACTCTGATCCTAACTTTTCCTCCAAAGTGTGGAATCGAGCCGTTACCACACAAATGTTTTGTAATGAAAACAATGTAAAGCCACTGGGGCAGTCAGCCATTGGGAAAAATTTAATTTATTTGAGGTTTATTGACCTCAGATATTAACCAAAATTTCTGAAATTGGGTCAGTGGTCAGTCAGTCTTTTATTTGCAGCCACATCTGAATCTGAGAGGCTGGAGTTGGTATGAACGGGCTGAACGACTGGAGCCTGGTCAATCACTCAGTCTCCCTGTGGAGTTTCCGATTAGCTTGAGACAAATTCAGTTGAAAATTGTAATCACGTTTTAATGGTAAAATGGTAAATGGACTGCATTTATATAGCGCTTTCACAGACCCAATGGCCACCAAAGCGCTTTACATTTGCCTCACATTCACCCATTCACACACTCATTCATACACCGACGGGCGACGGCAGCCATGCAAGGCGCCATCCAGCTCGTCGGGAGCAGCCGGGGTTTGGTGTCTTGCTCAAGGACACCTCGACACTTGGTCAGGTGGAACCGAGGATTGAACCACCAACCTTCCGGTTTGTAGACAACCCACATGAACCACTGAGCCACTGCCGCCCTTAATCTTAGTTTTAGTTTTTCTATAAGCATTCCCATTCATCTCAATAGCAGCTCTTAGGTAGTTAAGGAATCCAGTAAGTATGCAGTTTGAACTATGAAAAGGGAACAATGTAAGACCTTTTCATACTTTTAAAGTAGTATTTCACCCAAAAAGGTTCTGTCATGATTTAGTCACTCTGATGTTGTTCCAAACCTGTTGTCCAAAACAACATTGCAGTTCACTGTATGGACCAAAAAATATATATATATATAAATCTTATAGAAGTTATAGGTTTGCAATGGCATAAGTGATGAAAAAGTAATGACAGAATTTTCATTTTTGGTGAACCAAATGTATAAAAACCCTCCAAAAAAAAGGCCACTGGTAAAAGTTACCAAGTACCAAATGGTTGGTAACACTGTAGTTTAGGGTCCAAATCTCACTATTAACTAGTTGCTTATTATCATGCATATTACTAGGATATTGGCTGTTTATTAGTACTTATAAAGCATATATTAATGCCTTCTGCATGACCATATTCTACATCCCAGAATCCTACCCAATACCTAAACTTAACTACCTTACTAACTATTAAGCAGGAATTAGGAGTTTTAGGCAAAAGTCATAGTTAATAGTTAGTTATAGTGAGAATTGGATCCTAAACTAAAGTGTGACAAAAATGTCTACAATAATTTAATAAAATACATGCAATATGGTTGCAAATTCAAATGTTTTTAATACAAATATTAAATAGAAATGTAAATGTAGTTATTTTCCATTAATTTTTGGAGTGGTGTAACCTAGGGGTAAAAGACATGTATTTGTAACCAATAGGTTAGTTTGAACCATGCAGGACCTGCCTTAACCGTAGATTGCTCCAGGAGCAGCAACAAAAAATATCTGTAACAATGTGGTGGTGGTATGACAGAATATTTACTGGAATAACAGGCTGATACTTAATTATATTACAAAAGCAGAAAGAAAGTAAGACATCTATCACCCGTGACATGATAATTGAGTGGGGTGGCTTGAGGTTGTCCACTCAGTGAGACTCTTGTTGTATCACATTCATGTGGTTTTTGAAGGCCAGAGCATTGGTCACACACTGGTCAGTGAGTAAAAGCATGACCAGCCCTGTGTAAAAGGATAGCAGTGTGGATCAGACTGTGGTTTCAGAGGTCTGAGCTCCTCCCATTTTGAGACTCTGGTTCCTTCCTTCAAAACAAGAAAGAACAGGGTAGATGAACTGGGAAAATAAGACTAAAATACTGAAGAATAAGATTTTTTGCAGCATATTTTTGGGATTTCAGCAGTAATAAAAAAGTATATTTCCATAATTAAAATGTAATAAATTGTATTCTTTATACAATATTCATAATATACAGTATTTCCTTAATGACATTTAGAGTGAACAGCTCTGTCATTCAGCTTTCATATTTTGCCTGTGTATCCATACAAAACCTTTGATGGGAACGTTGTGGGGAATTTTGTTTTGTTATTCCCCATGCAGGATCAAATTTCCTCTATTTATTTGCTTTTACAAACGTGGAGGAGTAAATGTTGTAATGTTATGTGGGTTACCGTAACACAGCCTCTAAGACAAGACAGAAATACAGAATGCTGAATCATACACTTAACCAGTTTTTTTTCTTCTTCAAAAACAGTAATTCAAAACACTAGAGACTTTTATATTAGAATATTTCTATTCTCGAAAAAAAGACCAAGTAACTACCAATATTGTGTCTAAATTGTATTATACTCTTTATTAACTTTGTGTTTATTGAATTGTTTTATAAAAAATAACAAATGGGTACTGTTAATTGTGTAAACTTTCATCAACCAATCAGATTCAAGCATTCAACAGCCCATTCTTCCCAGGGAACAGATCAAAAATATTGATGACTCATTCTGCACTACACCGATTTTTTGTCCAATCAGATGCTCTCTAGAACGAGAAGACTCCTTCCACTAATACCACTCCACTTGAATACCAAGAAGTTCATGGCTTTGACATAACTAACACCTATTTCATGCAATATCATGTGGTCTTTAAATCAGAAAATTGTTATAATCACTTGTTAGGCCTTTGGTCGGGCCTCTTATCAGGAATGGGTGCTAAGCCAATCTTTTTTTTCTTTTTTTTTCAGGAACTGAGTCCAAGACAAGCCATCCTGTGCAGGCAGCAGTTGTGCAGCCTTACTGTGAGCCTCTCTCTGCCTCAGTGTCTGCGCCGGTGTCGCCTTCCAAACCAGAGGAGGAACAGAGCCCTGTGGATCCATCAGACGTCACCCTCTCTCTGGTTCAAACAAACTCTGAGACAGAGGAGAAAGCAGAGGATGCTGAGGCAGAAGTGTGTGAGGAAACGGTGGTGAGTAGAATGGAATATGAAAAGAAAGAAGAACCAGAAGGACACTTTGAGGAAGAAACTAACGGACTCGGTACAGATGAGTGTGAGAGAGAGCAGATGTTAGATAGAGATGTATCAAATGTCGTCCTGAGTGAGAAGGAAAGGCAGAATGAGGAGCTGAATGAGAAAGATAACTGCTCTGCCTCCAGCATCTCCTCAGCCAGCAGCACTCTGGAGAGAGAAGAACGAGAGGAGAAACACGTCAGCCACAGTGACTCAGGTGAGAACAACACATACACAAATCAAATACTGTGCAACGCAGAGGGTCTAACATTCGCCACAGGGTCCAAAATGAACATATTTCTGTACTACCATGAAACTATATTTAACATAAACCTCTGATGGTACTTTTTTTTTTTAAAGTTGGAAGATATTTTCTTTAGTAGACTCTTTGCATGTCTTTTATTTGAAGCATTTATTACTTGCGTCAGTGATAGTCAGACAGTTATTAGAATTTGATTTAAAAGATGAATTATGTTGCAGTTCATAGTAAAGTTACCAGCCAACTGGCATTTAACTCTCATTGGATTGCCAAGCACCAAATGATATAAAATAAAAAGAAAATAAAGTATTTAATGATTTTTTAAATAATAATATTGCTAGTTTCATTGTCAGCAAAACATATTTACGGTGGCTGTTATTCCTAGTTCAAGGTTATTTTCCCACTTTACCTGTCATTTGCTGATGAAATAAAATATACAATCAAATAAATGTAAAATAAATTAATTTTACATTTCGGTTTTAATAAAAAAAATATTTATGGCTTATATTTCCAAATTTTCCCAGTTTACCCACCATTGGTAGATAAAATAAAATAATAAAATAAAATAAAAAATAATATATAAACTAAACTTTATCAGTGCCAGACTACAACATGAAAATAGACATGTTTTGTAGAGATGCATTCTGAAAATCGTACATATTGGTGAAACTAGCTCTCAATTTGACTCTTAGGCCAGTGGGCAGACTGTATGAATACAGCGGACGCCAACGATCAGTGCAACAATGTGCTTAACAGCAAACGCTTCATGCTGGACATGCTTTATGCCCAAAACAAAAAGGGAGAGGAAAATGAGAAAGAAAAGGAGAATGAGAATGAGAAAGGATGTTCAGATCAGGACTCCTCTGTGTCTAGCCTTGCTAGTCGCATTTCCACTCTGGAGGCGCATCGGCAGGCATGCGAGGATAACATGAAGAAACTGGAAGTGGAGCATCTCGATAACCAGGGTAGCGTGAGGGCTGTGGCTGAGAAATTTGGAGATTTGGTGAAAGGACTGGTATTGCCTCATGAGTTGGAGCATTCTGGAAAGGAAAAGCAGCAAGCACAGGAAAAGCCTCCACCAGCTCCTTCACCAACACCCCCCAAAAAGGAGTCAGACCACATATGGGACCAGCTAATGGCCATACCACGTGAACTTCGAATCAAAGAGCTGGACTTCACAGACTTGGGAGAGGAGGATGATGTGGACATTTTGGATGTCAGTAACGTGATCGGGACGAGTGATCTCACGCAACCTCATCCTCCTCCCTGCCTTCCACCTCCACCACCTTTATTTGGATGCCCTCCACCTCCCCCTATCTCTGGCATGATGATGCCCCCTCCACCACCCTTTTTGCCTTCTATACCTCCCCCACATCTTGGATCTCCTCAGCTTAGTCGAGGAGAACCCCCGCTCTTCCAGAAAAAGAAGAAGACCATTCGGCTGTTTTGGAATGAGGTTAGACCTATAGACTGGCAGTACAACAACCACAAGAGATGCAGGGAGTCACTGTGGTCAAAACTGGATCCGGTCAAACTGGACACGGCCAAGTTGGAAAACCTCTTTGAGACGAAATCCAAGGAGCTGCCAGTTACAAAGGTACTGTTAAATGACCCCTTTTCGATGTTTCTTCCAAATATTAATCACCAGGTTGTTTTTGTTTTTGTTTTGTGCTTAAATCTTCAAGATTATTGGTTTACTTAATATTACATTAATTATTTCCTCATCAGTGTCATTACAATTAGTGGTGCTTATGGTCTTCAATTTGGGGTGATAAAATGGGTTAAAAAATCTCTAAAATCTAAAAAACTTTATCTGAATGTGGAACCAGTTACCTCTATAGACCAGGGTAAGGGTGCAGCAGCCATTCAGATGGTCTTACCTAAAATGAGACATAAAGTTCACACTCTAGGGTCTTAGTAACTACTAGTCAGTTTACAAGAACATCTGTACTTAATTCCAGTTTATCTGGTTATGATTGATGTTTCAAACTTGCTTTGCCTCATACAACGGTCAGTGGTTATAAATTCAATTTCCATAATATGAATTTCGGTGCGGGATTGCAGGTTTTGCACATAATTTTACTAGTTCTTTACAAGTTCTGTGCTTGTAATACAGTCCATTCAGTATAGTAATGTTCTCTCATAAGAATCCCAATCAAAAACCTATCAAAACAACTTAGTAAATGGACTTGAAACATAACAAAACTTGTCAAAGCCATAGCCTTGTGGGCAGCGCTCCGATATATAGCACAACAGCACTTCTGGCGATCCGAGTTCAAGTCCCGGCTTGTGGTCTTTTCCCGATCCCTCTCTCCTCTTCTATCGCTTCCTGTTTATCCTTGACTGTCTATCCAATAAAGGCATAAAATGCCCAAAAATATAACTTTTATGACCAAATAAAATCAAAAACACTACATAGAGTTAAACTGTCAATTAATTCTAAATAACAAATATTTATGTTATCATAATTTACCATGCCTTAACTAAAAAAAGATTATTGAAGTGCATCATCAGTGATCAAACTACCAGCCTATCAGTTGGACCGTCACCACCAAATTTGATATAGAAGTTCTTGCTCTTTAATATTTTAAGTTACTCACACTAAATGGCCTAAAAATATACTGTTGTGTCGACAGACTCAAGTGCGTGGAGTTTGTCAGAAACTGAACGCACATCTGTATACTGTGTCCGTGATTATATTGGGTTCTATTTGCTTTTGACGTGACGCTCACTTACAGTGTAGGCAAATCTTAGCCGTTAAGCGACTAAATGCCAGTGGGCCGGGCCTATGGTGCGATGATGTATAACTCTTCGTCGATGTCTTACTCTGGAGGCAGGCATTTGCAAATGTATTTTCCCGTGTGACGTCACATGTCCGGCAATATTAAAACAAGCTGTTTTGGAGCTTGATTAAATAAAAGCTTTGTTTATAATGAGGATGACATAGTAAGCTATGGCACTTTCAGGATGTTTTAATATTAAATGTCAAACGATCAAGGCAAATTTGATTTCTAATGCCATGACCCCTTTAAAATAGTTTGTTTGAGGGAATGTGCTGGCAAACAGCAGCCTATATTGTGGTAGCAAATTGCCCGCGCAACAAAAAAACATTTTTTTATTGCTCTACTTTTACCTGGCTTTTGTCGGCACACATGAACACAAGCCATAGCTGCTAAGAAGTTACTTTGATCTTTTCTGGGCCTTTCTTCTGTAACACATGGGGATCTCGGAGTTTGTGTGTGCTGTACACTAAAATATGAACCACACCGTCATTCCAAGTTGTACAACAGAGTTTTTATTCTTTTGATTCTTTTTCATGTCCAGAGATAAATCCCTGACTAAATAGAATGAACACCATCACAGGTTTTAAGTGTTGGAGATGAATTGGTGTTCTTAAGATGAAGATCTATCATATTATTTGGCTTGTTCGCTCTTAGATGGTGTTTCAGAAATGTGGCCTGCATGGGGTTTCCTCTCCTCTCTGCTCTGAGCAACCTTTTCCAGCTGTTTTTCATTTTCGGCCCATTCTCCCTCCGTTTTTTTGTCCTCTTCCCTCCTCCCCCTCTGTTTGGCAGCAGACACCAGCTCTGCTCCTCCAGAAATATTCTCCATCAAAGTCCCAAAATAGCCCTCAGGTGTTTGCGTGCCTTTTCTGCAAGTAAACATTAAACATATCCAGTGTTTTGTGTTCATATCTCAGGAAGCCATTTTTAAGGTAATTATCCACATTAAAGAACTGCCTTTCCTATTGAGTTCAGTGGCCAGCGTGAGAGTAAGAACAGGCTGACGGAGCCTTATTTCGTATTTGGTGTGGGGAATAGATGTGTATCTGTATGGTAAGCTATGCAATGGGTGAAGCAGCCTAGTTGTGGGAACTAGAAACATTTCTTATCATCAATTTTGTGCTTCTTTTAATATTTTTGTGGAAACCAGGTTTCTTTGATGCATATAAAATATCATGTATTTGAAAAATAGTTTTTGTAACAATGTGAAAGGCACTTTTTTATTGTCACTTTATGCACCCTTGCTGACTAGAAAAGTTTTAATGTGTTTAAAAGAAAAAAAAATATTACTGTCCCTAAACTCTTGTTTTGAGCCTATAAATTAATAAACATATATTCAAATATTTATTGTTAGCGATGTATATAGGCTATGTTCCACAGTGTCGTTTGCAGTACAACCAAAAATTTTTGTTAACAAGCGAATGTAATAGTTTTATTCAACAGCATTTTGTCAAATTATGTTTAATTATTTATTAAGTGTTTATACATAAAATGCTAGACAATTTTTTAGATGGTGTTTCTATTACTCTCATTTCCACCACAAAATGTTATCCTTCAAAAAACGTGTACAAGAGATCTGATGTAAATGACTTGTGTTGGTTAAAAAAAGAATCAGAGAATTTTCCTGTGATGCATGAATGAGTGAGAGTATAAAAAGTGTGTTTTAAAAAAAAAATCGCATTGTCATAGAAACACTCTGTTGCTTAAAAAAATAGCTTTTCAGCAGAATATGTTGGCCTTTAACCCATCACAGTATGGTCACTGTGAATAACTTTGATGATTAGTCTGTTTATACACCTGATTTCAGAAAACGGCAGCAGATGGGAAGCGTCAGGAGATCATCGTCCTGGATTCCAAGAGAAGTAACGCCATCAACATTGGCCTGACGGTCCTGCCGCCTCCTCGCACCATCAAAACAGCGATCCTCAACTTCGACGAGTACGCCTTGAGCAAAGAGGGCATAGAGGTAATACTGCACTGGTTTAAAATTACATTCCGTTTCGCAAATTATGACAAATCAGCCGCAAGTAATGAAGCAAATTCGACATGATGAAATTATTAAGAAAAGCTACAATAAAACTTAATACATACGTTTAAGTTAGTACAATGCATGGTTACACTTTAATCCTGAGAATGCCAGACAGGTTACCATGCAGAAAACACATCTGTACTTAATACTAACCTTGTTTTGAGTCCACGTGAGTCACATATTCCTTGAACCCCTCTACAGTTCGCTCTCGCTCTCTCTTTCTCTTTCTCTCTCTCGTTACATCAATCATTCAGGCATTTATGATCATCCCCAGACTGCTACATGAAAGCATATTTTTACCAAAATACATGGCTCTCTACAACTGTGTTCAACAAGACAGAGACATACTGACTGTAGCCGAGTTGGCACACAAAAATCATGGAGTCAAAGCTCGTGTCCAAAATAACTCAACCTCTCTGCCCTGAGAGCATATACATTTACTTTGGGTTTCCACAAAACCAATAGATTTTACCCTTAAAACTGTTTAGCAAGTTGGTTTGGCCGGCGAGTCGAAATATTATGTGGATTTTCTGCAAAACTGAAGCATTTTTGGCAGCGGTCATATAATTCATCTCAAAGATTAAAGGTTAGCAAAATGCTTCATTTAGGCTGTTGCAGCCCATGATACAGATCTGAGGTAAATGTCTCAATATCAACATGTGAATAATGGAGCTCCCATTTTCTCATAAACTCTGTAATTTTTTATCTTTCGTCATGGGAAAAATGGATTAGAGTTTTTCTGTCCACCCTTTTTATGTCTCTACAGAGAGCGTTATATTCTCACTGACAACCACAGTTTATGTTTCTAAAGATTTTATCAGAAATTTTGTTTTGGTCATGAGAAATTACCTTTTTTATTCAGTTATGCAACAGAAGGAGGTTGCCCCTAGCAGATGAAATAGTCATCATTTTCTACATTTTTACGCAATGCCGTGTCTTCCCAGATGTTGTTATTCATCAACGCTCAGATGATTGATTGAGCGAATGCCTTTCTAGGGGTGAGTCCCCATATACAATGGCTTCTGACAGTGATACTAACACTCCCCACTGGTACTCGTGCTCTTTCATAGAAAATCCTGACAATGATTCCAACGGAGGAGGAGACGCAGAAGATTCAGGAGGCCCAGCTGGCGAACCCCGACACTCCGCTGGGCAGTGCAGAGCAGTTCCTCCTCATTCTGTCCTCCATCAGTGAGCTGTCTGCCCGCTTGCAACTTTGGGCCTTCAAGATGGACTATGATGGTTTAGAGAAGGTCAGCCTCATATTTTGTTACCCCTTTATACAAATGAAATGACATTATGGTGGTTTGGGAACAGTTGCTTTTGACCTCTCCTCTAAGAGTTTCTTAAAGGGATAGTTCACCCAAAAATGAACAATTTTTTTTTTTTTATCGATTACTCACCCTCGTGTCGTTCCAAATCTGTAACTTTTGGACTTTTGGAATGGACTTTTGCTCATCGTCGAAACACAAATGAAGATTTTTTTAATGAATTCTGAGAGATTTCTGTCCTTTCATTGACAATCCATGCAAACTACCAATTTGATGCTTCAAAACCTTCATAAAGAGATTGTAAAACGAATCCATATGAATACTGCGATGTTTAGTCCGAAGTTTCTGAAGGGACACAATGGCTTGATATGATGAACAGATTGAATTTAGGCTTTTATTCACATATATAAAGTGACCGTGTCTCTTCAGGAAATTTGGACTAAACCCTTCATTCATATGGATTTGTTTTACGATGTCTTTATGCACTTTTTGAAGAGTCAAAGTGGTAGTTGCGTAGACTGTCAATGGAGGCACACTCCTAATGTGATTATAATGGGATTTTGGCAATATTGTGATTAAACTTTACCTCATGTTAACACAATACTCTGATCAAACTAATGCGATTAAGCTCATAATCGTAGTAACCATCATTACGGTAAACTATGTGCCGTACGCTGATTTTAATCTCAATAAACAGGCATGTAAACACCTTAATCGCATTATTACCGCTCTGACCAAAGTGTGCATATGTTTGGACGTACACGTATACCTTGTTTACACAACTTCATGAATGAACTCCGTGACATTATTCAGAAGTTTTTCCTCTACTCCGAATTGCTAAACTCTGTCAATGGTGCCGAATAATGTCCAATACTTCCATAGAAATGTGTTTTGCATTTGATGAAAGTAGATTAAAACAGTGGTTAGTAACACACCTACTGTATGTGAGTTCATTATTTGTGCTGTGGGGTATGCGAATAATGGCGGTAAAAATAACCACGCTTCTTAAGTCAAGTCAAGCCAACTTTATTAATATACAGTGCTGGTCAGAATGATTTGCCCCCTTGGTAAATATTATCAAAGATGGCTGTAAAAAAATAAATCTGCATTGTTTATCCTTTTGATACTTTATTTTTTTTTAAATGCAAAAATCTAACCTTTAACTGAAGTAAAAGAGTTGAAAGTGTGGGGAAAATCACATTATGAAATAAATGTTTTTCTCCAAAATTGTGGGACAACACAATTATTTGCCCCCTTTTATTAAATACGTTTTGCAACCTCCTTTTTCCAAGAGAACAGCTCTGAGTCTTCTCCTATAATACCTGATGACTTTGGAGAACACCTGACAAGAGATCAGAGACCATTTAATTCCTCCATACAGAATCTCCAGATCCTGCAGATTCCCAGATCCATGTTGGCGCTTCTTCTCTTCAGTTCAGCCCACTCATTTTCTATAGGGTTCAGGTCAGGGACTGGGATGGCCATTGCAGATGCTTGGTTTTGTGCTCAGTGACACATTTTTGTTTTGATGGAAGATCCAAACAAGGCCCGTTATAAGATTTCTAGCAGAGGTTGTCAGGATTAGATTTTTTATCTGTTGGTATTTGATGGAATCCATGATGCCATGTATCTGAACAAGATGTCCAGAAAATTAGGCCCACAGTATTAAAGATACAGCTGAGTATTTCATTTTACACATGGGGTACTTTTTTTATCCCTGTGTGCACCAAACCCATCTTAAGTGTTTGCTGCCAAAAAAGCTACATTTTTGTTTCATCTGACCATATAACCTGTCCCGTTTAAAGTTCCAGTAGTGTCAGTTACTTTTCAAACGTTCTATGGACAGATGAAACAAACAAAAAAAGAGCTTTTTGGCAGCAAACACTTACTATGGGTTTGGTGCACACAGGGATAAAAAAGTACCCCATGTGTAAAATGAAATACTCAGCTGTATCTTTAATGCTGTGGGCCTAATTTTCTGCCAGAGGTCCTGGAACTCTTGTTCAGATACATGGCATCATGGATTCCATCAAATACCAATAGATAAAAAATGACGGGCCATGTTTGGATCTTCCAACAGGACAGTGATCCAAAAACAAACATCAAAATCTGACCTGAAGCCTATAGAAAATGAGTGGGCTGAACTGAAGAGAAGAAGCGCCAACATGGATCTGGGAGTCTGCAGGATCTGGAGAGATTCTGTATGGAGGAATGGTGTCAGGTCTCTTGTCAGGTGTTCTCCAAAGTCATCAGGCATTATAGGAGAAAACTCAGAGCTGTTATCTTGGAAAAAGGAGGTTGCAAAAAGTATTTAATAAAAGGGGGCAAATCATTTTTCCCAATGCGTTTTGGAGAAAAACATTTATTTCATAATGTGATTTCCCCCCCACTTTCAATTATTTGACTTCAATGAAAGGTTAGATTTTTGCAAAAAAAATTTTTATGAAATATCAAAAGAAATAACAATGCAGATTTATTTTTTTACAGCCATCTTTGATCATATTTACCAAGGGGGCAAATAATTCTGACCAGCACTGTAGCGCTTTTTACAATTCAGATTGTTTCAAAGCAGCTTTACATGTGATAACAGGAAAATAATGCAACAAAGTTTGTTTCGGCTGTACAGCAGCTCTCGAACAAATAGTGTCATTGTCCAGCTTAAGTAAGTTCAGTGTTGATTCATTTCCGTTGTAAAAATCATTAGTAATTAATTTATTTAATTTATCTATACAGCAGCTCTGTAGAAAACAGTGATGTCCGTCCTTAGCATAATCAGAATATTGAAAATTGCATGTAAACGGGTATGAAAAGGTTGCTTAGATTTTTTGAAAAAATCGTAGGACATTTTGAGTTTCTCTTTTGTATTATGAACAATTTTGGTACTGTGTTGGGACTGCATTTGAAATTTAGTTTTAAATGTAGATCCTGAAGTAATCTAGATTCTGAAGAAAAACCACCACTCTACAGAATTCTTTCCTAGGGGTAATTTATTTCGAACCCATTCTGTTTCTCGTTCTCAGGAAGTAGCAGAACCACTACAGGACCTAAAGGAGGGCATGGACCAATTAGAAAAGAATAAGACGCTGCACTACATCCTTTCAACTCTGCTAGCTATTGGCAACTTTCTCAACGGGACCAATGTGAGTGCCAGCAAAGTCTACATCTCTTCTTTCAAGCCCTAATCTCTCCATCTCCATCTGTCTTTCTTTCTGTCTGTCTGGCGTATTTGCTTAGATCTTAATAATGTTAAAAAATCTGAAGGAGATAAACCTGATAAGGTGGTGAGTTTGGCATGAAATCTCTTTTGTTACCGTAAACCATTGAGCATGGGCAGCAGAACAAAGCCAGCGAGAGTCATGTCACGTCCGTTGGGATTTCTCCATTCCCAGCTCTGTCGTGACTTGCAGACAGGGTTGAGATTCTGTTAATCATATGTTAATGGAGCATTGGTCAGAATCATCATGGGAGCTGCAAATAGACTCTGCACACATTCAAAGCACTCTTATCTTAATGCAACTGATGCTAATCAACTAAACTGCATCAGAATAATGTCAAAATGAGCCCTTTTTTAGGAAATGATTTGATGATGGACCAGATCCAGAGTTACTAATGCTCTCAAGGTGCATGTGATTTCCACATCAGAGATCATTTCAATCTCGCATATTTACACATTCAAATGTATCTGAAATGAAACTTCCCTGCTTCTCTATTGAGTTTTGACTTGTTAGCGTGCATTACGCTTTTCATGTTTTGCCCTCTTTTCTTTATATTCAGTCTGTAGCAAAATTACTGCACTTGTTTAACATAATTATGTAATACCTATTTTTCACTAAATATGAAATGTATCCTAATAATATATATATATATATTCAGAGGTGGGTAGAGTATCCAAAAACTGTGCTCAAGTAAAAGTACAAGTACTTATAGAAATATTTACTCAAAGTAAAAGTAAAAGTAATAATCTTAAAAGTTACTTGAGTAAAAAAAAGAATCCAATGAAAAAACTACTTAAGTAGTTAGTTACTAGTTACTTTGTATCACATTGGCCTATATATATGTATAACATGATAATATTTAGATATTTTTTTCATTTAAATGACTAAAATTATCATAATTAGATAAGCTATCTTTGCAACAAAAACAGAAGAGACAAACATTATTTCTGTATCTGTATATTATATCTATAGCCCGAAAACCATTGCCTGTCCTTTGGTTTGTATAATAGTATAATAACTTATACAACTACATTTGGATTATTAGACAATGTCGGAATAAAGTGGCTCTATGGAGTTTTGCATTCATATGTAAAGGGATGGGAACCATTGACACAGATTAGAAAGTGTTAAAACTCTGCACATGTGCTCGCAGTCATGTCATGCCCAACACAAACAACGATCAAATGCAAGGATCTTCTTCTGTCTGTTCTCCAAAATGTATTTAAATGTAGGCTATATTTATGAAAGCATCTTTAAACTGGTTAACCGTGTCTAATAAGGCAGGCAAAGGCATTCGTTTTCAAGTCAGGTTTGCACGCCACTGCGCAATACACACACATTGTGTGTGTACACACATTCATAAACTGGACGATGATAGCTTATTTAATGTATAAGTCCAAAAAAAGAGTAATGTCATATTTTGTAGTAGTGCTATATAGCGTAATAATCTGTTTGGTAGTAAAATGTATTACCTGAGTCTCGTGTGGAATAATTCATTCACAGACAGCTTACGAAGTAACAGATGTTCAACTAATAAAGATCTTCATCGCTGGCAAAAAATATGATGCATTTGCAGATTTACTTTTTAGACTGTACTGTAGACTGTGGACTGCCACTTCATACAACGCTCTTGATGTTCTTAAAGCTGCTGTAGGTAACTTTTAAAAAAATTTTTTTTTTACATATTTGTTAAAACTGTCATTATGTCCTGACAGCAGAAAATGAGACAGAAAATCTGTGAAAAAATCAAGCTCTTCTGGCTCCTCCCAGTGGTCCTATTGCCAATTGCAGAAATACACGCTCCCGGTCAGAAACAACCAATCAGAGCCAGGAGGAATGTCTTAGCAGTGTCAATCACGCTCGTGTACGCGCTGATCACACCCCTCTCTTGCACAGCGCGAGCCGTCGTTCAAACTCAAGATTGCCGGCGTGCTGCAGCTGTGCTTATGACGGAGAAACAACCTAAACTGCCAATTCTCGAGTGACACCTGCTCATAAAACAAAGAGGTAAAAGGAAAAAGACCGATGACGATAAACAAGCGAAAAAGAAAGAATTACACAGAGCCCATTGACTCGGTGTCAAAACTCTACCCGCATAACATGTAGATAAAATGTCACGCACTCTGCTAAGCAACAATTGAAACCTGCTAATTCACTGGCTTGTCATGTTGCTGAAATAATGTACTAGCACACCTTATCTAGCATTATATATCACTAGAATAATTACTTACATACTGTAACGTTAGTTACCGTTATATTAACGTTATCTTACTAGCTATTTATAACTTATAGAAAGAGTGCAACGTTACATGTATTGCAAAATACATAATGATTTGAGGACCAAGTTTGTAGTCAAAGTATGGGCAGGCTATAGTCAATGTAAAGCATATTGTTGACGTTTAGTCCCTATTAGTGAATGTGCCGCTGTTATTGGTGGCCCTGTTTACTAGCCTGCGCGTTCACGACAGGCTCCGCTGTGGAGGACGAGCTGTGGAGGGAGGGCGGTAGCGCAGCAGAGAGCAAGGGGGTGGGACCTGTAAGTTGTACTTGTTCAAATTTTTAGGCTAAGTCAACGTTTTCTCAAAACTCCCTACTGCAGCTTTAAATCTTCCTGTTACGACTCCGAGACGATTCAGTGCGTGCAGGAAACTGAACAGATCATTCAAACTGATTTGCGAACCGATTTAGACAGATCTGCTTGTTTGATGAAGTCTTTGAACAGAATCGACTCAAAAGAGTGATTAATTTGTGAATTGAGCATCGCTCATGCCCAGAAAAAAGAGAGAGCGCGCGCTTAGAATAAAGTACGCTTTTAACAACATATTGCATTAAAATAAAGTAACGAGAGGAACGTCCCCTAACGTAACGATTAACGAAGTAAAAGTACAGTTTTTTCATTAGAAATGTACTCGAGTTAAAGTAAAAGTACCCGCAATTAAATCTACTCTTAAAAGTACAAATTTTCCCAAAAAATACTCAAGTAAATGTAACGAAGTAAATGTACTTCGTTACTACCCACCTCTGTATATATTGTATGTATGCATTTTTCCGAGAAGTCACTGAAATAAGGACACACAATACATACTAAATATGTGTCCACAAGACTTCGGAGTCCTGGATGTTGTAGCCTGGATTTGTTGCTTCAAAATGATGTGAAAATCATCCTGCCTACTCATTCACATAAAACAATATATTGATCTTAATTTTGTAAGACACTTTTTATTTACAAAACCAATATGCGTGGGGGTGTGATTGATCATGAATAATGCTGTGATTCACACCTGAGGAGACAATGACCCGCACAATGAGCCTCATATGAGCCTAGATGGCGCAGGCTGATATGTCCTTAACTCACTTTGGTAGCGATCACATTTTTATCTACCGGTACATAGCGCAGCTGATTGGTTGCTCTTGAATCAGTGGCCAATAAGCTTTTTGAGCAGTTTTCCAGCTGCAGGAAAACCTATGTCAGATGGGGCACCGCTGCAAAGCATCCTGGTACCACCTAAAGGTCATCGCCAAACATGAAATCAAACCAGCGCAGCGCATGTCTGACTGAATTAAAGACTGTGCAGAAAGAATTATTATCCTTAAAATTGTGCATCACCGCATCATAAACAGGTGGATTAAATGATCATTAAAGCTGTTCACACAAATCCAATATATGAGAATGAAAAAAAGACACTTGAAATCAGCATTCAAATACTTGTAGTGTTTGCTGTTAGCAGTGTGCAGCTCGCTTTCAGAAACCCTCCATCTTCCCCAGCTCCACCTGTATAGATCTGCTACAGGGGTTATTTCATGTATGTTACATGTGCAGCAACACCATGTCTTACATGCTCACAGCAATGGCATTAACATGCCAATCTCGCTGAGAGTTGTCGTGACAGAAATTAGTTCATGTTCATGGTGTGTTTGTTTGCGTTTTCAGGCTAAAGGCTTTGAGCTGAGTTACCTAGAGAAAGTTCCTGAGGTGAAGGACACCGTTCACAAACAGTCTCTATTGCATCACGTCTGCTCCATTGTCGTGGAGAAGTTTCCAGACAGCTCAGACCTCTACTCTGAGATAGGAGCCATCACTCGCTCTGCTAAGGTTAGCCTAACCACCATACCATTTACCAGACTATCACCACTGATTTTACTGCAAGCCTGTACCTTCCTTGGAATGTTTTTGTATTTTTTTTTGTCTTTCATATAATCTTTCATTATATTTGATTAATATGGTACAGAGAGGGCAAGCAATGATGGAGCGGGACATTAATTCCAAATCTCAATGATCACTATGAGTTTGTGGACTCACTGCTAGGCAATGAAACACACATACATGTACAATGTCAGTTATAAGTTTAGAATCATTTGAAATATTTTTGGTTTTATGTTTTTTAAAGAAGTCTCTTATGCTTACCAAGACTGAATTTATTTGAATAAAAAATACAGTAATATTGTGAAGTATTATTACAATTTAAAAGAACTGTTTTCTATTTGATATATTTTCAGAAATCATTCTAATATGCTGATTTAGTGCTTAGTTATTATCAATTATTATTGATGTTCAATTATTCATAATAGTTCTTCTTATGTTGAAAACAGATATTGCTGCTTAATATTTTGTGGAAACTGTGAAAAGTTGAATTGAAAGTCTTACAGAAAGTTCCAAATGTGCTTCGATGGAAGCAAGAACACCTGACCTTTTGTATAAAGCAGTCACAAATTTGCTTATTTGATTAGTGACCAAGTAATACCACTAATCAACGAAGGAACAGACCAAGCACTGTTCCTTCGTTGGCCAGAGGAGAACTGGCCCCCCGACTGAGTCTGGTTTCTCCCAAGGTTTTTTTCTCCATTCTGTCACCTGATGGAGTTTTGGTTCCTTGCCACTGTTGCCTTGGCTTTTGGCTTGCTTAGTTGGGGACATTTAACATTTAATATTCAATAATATTATTGATCTGCCTTACTTAACTCTCTGGGGTCGGCGGTCTCGCCGGCGATACCAGCTCACTTTTTTCCTTATCAGTGCAAAAGAGACTCAAATTACTCTGTTAATTTTGATCTTACATATAAGTGTTGTACATCATTAGATCCTGTTAAGTTTCTATTTTTTTTGTGGATACTCACAATAAAAACAAAGTGTTGTGCTTTTCACCAAATAAAGAAAAACAAACATGATGCGAGTTTTGCGTTCTCTCTGTCAGTGAAGTCCATTCTGAAACGCGTCCTAAGATTAACTGTAACTCCGCGATTACTTGTCACACAGACACGAGAGGTTTTTCTTTATGAAGCTTGAATTCTCTTCTTTTAAATGAAGTAATTTATATAAAAAACAAATATTCTCAGTTTATGCAATCTGTATGAAAAGAGAGTGCTGTCAGTATTTTTTCCCCCAGCTCATTACACTTCATTACGCGTTAATCTGACACGCCCACGGACGACGCGCGCTATTCAAACGCAAATGTCGAGGCAAGCCATGACAACGCCCACATCAGCTGTTCCACCGCGGCGGTAAAATGTGTGGTGTATTTGCTGCCTTTTACCGCTAAGAGGCGCTACAATCATAGACTCTGAAAAGTGTTCGTTTATTCCGGTTTATTCTCTCTAATGCGTAATCTGCTGCCGCACCGCGCTGATTCAGAGCGATTGAAAGCTGGTAGCAGAAGAATTCAACAAGTGAAACGTAGTTAAAATAATTCATAATCACAATACTGAAATTAGGCTACTGAAATGTAATTGAATAAATAATGAAAACATTTCAACATAAAATATTGCAATAAAAACATTTAGGCTACATGAACGAGGCTTTACAACTTTAACAGCGTACAGACGATAGCTCAGTGATCAACGCAACGACACGAGCTTCGAGGAGCTTCAACAGACCCGAGATCGAATCTCAATGTAGCATAGATGTTGTTAACCGATGTTGTCCTACGTTTATATTTTCCCACCTTGATGCTTAAATAGGTAACTGTTTATATCTGTTTACTTATTTAAAGTCAAGAGTTTTGTTTGATTATCATTACAACATAAATTTGCTACATTCCTGTAGAACCGCAGCCGCTGCACAAACGACAAAAACTGATGAAGATTGTCAGCCGATCAGAAAATGAAAATGAAGAAGCTCGTCTTTAGTCTGCTAAATTATTGTGTAATGTAAAAGAACACTAAAATTACTTAAGTTTGAAACCAAGTTCGAACATTTCAAGGTTTAAATTGTTTAATTTAAAACAGGGTTGCATCTTGTTTAGAGTTTATTTCTTTTGCGATGCAAAATAAGAAACACTAGGCTAATCTTATTCTTGCGACATTTTAAATTTGTATTGCCAAAGAAATTACAGCTAAATTAAACAATTAAAACAGTAGGCCTACAAAACGAAAATTGTCCAAAGAAACATAATTAAATTAAAAACATGCGTTTCTCTTTGCCTCTCTCGCGCTGGATCTCTTTTTAACAAGTTTATTTAGTCTCCCTCGCTGCGCGCGCGGGTCTCTCTCTCGAAATTAATCATTTCAGAGTAAAAACACATCATACAGCTGATAATACTGTATATGTCGCTGCGTGTCAGCCATACAAATCACGAAAAAATTATTTAACCTTTAATTGTTGCTTCAAAGACACAGCATGCCTTGTTGAATTCACCTTACAATAACTTCAATTGAAATTTTGTGTGAAAAAAAAACTTTAAATAGGCTACAATAAATAAACTACAATATTTATAATTTAATAAGATATGGGGCCTACATTTGGACACAGATTTATCCTTACAATAATTTTGCCTGCTCATCAGGCTGGCTATCCGACACTCTCCATATGAAAGAGGAACATTAACACCTTTGTCCAGCAACTGTCCCTCCAACCCCCCACAGGCTATCGGAGTCTGAGGCTGACTTAACACAAAGAGAAGTCGCAATTCACACTTAAATCGCCATTCTAGACAGTGTTGATAATGAAGGAATTAAATGATTTAAGTTACATGTAGCCTAGTGATATTTCTGTCATAAAAGTTTATTACTAAATATTTCATTATTTCAATAATTGATGAAATAAAACTGGTTTGGGGCAGCTTTTTCCAAGCAAAACTAAATATAATCTGAAAAAACGCTTGTGAATTTGTTGTCACTTAATATTAAAGTCTACAGGGATCTTTGGATCCTTACAACCAGGCATGCAATTTGTGAATTAAGTTTTTATTTTATTTTGTATTATTCAAATAAATATCGAAACACGGTGCTTCGTGGTAATGCTGCTAAATTAAATAACATTTATAGAATAATTATGAACTTAAATGAAACAATATCGCAACATTTCGACAAATACATTATTATGTTTTTACATTTTAATTCAGGGCGATTTAGCCTACATTTAATTAGAGCGAGATTTTCACCCATGTCTTGTCATTTTCTCATTGGGAAGCGCATGTTTGAGTAGATCCTCTGTACCTCTCGTTTTCATATGGATTAGCCTACATAATCAGATAACATTTATTAGCCTAAATATTTAGACATTTAAAGGCTTTAGACATAGCCGATTTCTTATCGTGACTGAGCTGAAGTGGCTTTCGGTTCATTTTTGTGACGCGCAGTTCCCGGAGACAGAGAGGACAGATATACTGTTTTTGTCGTTAGCCTAATATGAATACAAGTTTACAGTTTTGAACGATGTAAGCTACTCTACTCTTATCATTATGACCAAAAAATTACGGAGTCGCCTATTAAGTTATTTTAGCTGTAATAATGAGATAAATAAATTAATCTAAATGAACGCGCCGCCGCGTTTGTCGAACACTAACTCACGATGCCAGAATAAAACCCGACTTTAGAAAAATGCATAGGGTCACTCGGCGTGGTGTGCCAAAACACTTAATTATAAACTTCAATATTTCATTCAAAATAATCTCAACACGCTTTGTGAAATTTTGAAAAGCCGTGCATGCATTAAGGCCACTGGAACTAATGAACAACTGAAACGCTGGTTTTGATTTTATTGTTTTTCGTTTAAACGTGCCTGTTGCATATCTCTATTTTTAGGGCCCAAGCCCAAAGGGCGAAGGCCCTATTGTTTTCCTTAGGATTATTAGGGCCCAAGCCCAAAGGGCGAAGGCCCTATTGTTTTCCTTAGGATTATTTATTATTATTATTATTATTATTATTATTATTATTATTATTATTTTTCTGCTACCTTTTGGACACTTTTGGAGGCCTTAACATGCTCAAAAACTCCTGAAACTTTGCACACATGTCAGAACCCGCGGCCATCAGGGCCGGGCTGAAGATGGTACCCGGGCGTGGCAGGGGGGCTCGACAGCGCCCCCTGGAACGGGGTCCGAAAACATGGTCCATAAATCAAACACGCTTGCATGTAATAATATGAAACTCGGTACACATGTAGATCTCCTCGTTTCATATATACTTCACACTCTTACTTTTTACCCCAGCCCAACAGGAAGTCGGCTATTTAGGGTTGTTGGTAAAACACACGCAATGGAATGTGAAATACTCCTCCTAGAGAATTCAAACAAACGGCACGAAACTCGGTCAGCATGAAGTCAAGACATTGAGGATGAAAGTTTGCGAGGGGATTTTTGATATCTCGAACGGTTTGGCCGTGGCGAGGAAACAAAATTATGGCGAGAAACGTGAAACAGGAAGTGTGTCATAACTACTGCATACATTAACTGATCTTGATGAAACTTCAGCAGTGTGTTCGCTGTAAGAGCCCGATCACATGGATGTGACTATTGTGAGTCAAAGTTATAGCGCCACCAACTGGCAGCAGGAAGTGTGTCACTTCCTAAATGCTTTGAAATCACCCTCTTATTTTTACCCGATTTGCTTCAAACTTTATGTGTATAATGTAAACACACGGCAGATGTAGACCTGTGAAAGGATTATTGATATCTTAGATACTGTTGCCGTGGCAACACATCAAACTTTAATATTCTTGTTTGATGCTTTTGAGACTCTTAGCATGCTTGAAATTGCATGAAACTCGACAGACACAGGTATGCATATGGTTCAGATCAAGCCGGACAACTTTCTAATTAACTGTCATTAGCTCAGACCAAGAGGAAGTTAGATATTTTGGTTTGAATGTGGATGTTT